AGGGGATTGATGTAGTACATAATCACAATTAGTAGTTTCCTACTACAATTATGATTTATCTTTTCTAGTTCTAATTTGTTTTGTCTTTTTATTCTTATTTCTTGTTTAGAATAGGATTTCTTTTATTTATTGATTAGAATATGATTTTTAATTAGATTAGAGTTAATTTTGCCTATAAATATATGGGTATTGTACACTTTTTAATCAGTTAATTATATATTAATACAAAACAAAATTATTTTAATATAATTCTTATTTCAATAACATTATCTAATACTAGTATTGCTAGAATACTAGTCCAAGTAGAATGATATGGTAAGTTTAATTGAACGAAGAAAAATGTATTAAAACTTTCATTTAAATGAAATTATCATATACATTGATCAATTAGAAGGGTGGTAGCACACTAATGCTAAATAACATTGTGCCCGTTTGGGCTCTCATTATTCTACATTATAATGAGAGAAATAGTAATTTTTTTGGAGAATGTACGGATAAAAATAATTTTTAAAAAAAGTTTTTCAGTTTACGTGTAATTATATTTTATTGAAAAATGTGTGGTTGATAAGAAGGGTGAGAAAAATGAATTATAATTTAATGGAGGTCAAACGGGTGCTAAATTATTCAATATGGCTCATTTTGAGGTTGAAAAACTAAATTAGATGGTATAATGATGAAATATGGAAAGTTAAAAAAAAAAAAAGAAAAGAAAAGAAAAGACTTCTTGATATTTATATGGGTTTCTTTTACAAAATAGTGTTATTATTATTGTTATTATTTTATTTTTTTGATGGGATTTATTATTGTTATTTAAGTATACACAACAGTAATGATTTTTTACAGTAGGTTTAAATTATCTTCTATGTAATACACTATAATTAATATTAAATCGCCACTTGCTATGCATGATTTCAGACAGGAAAATACCTATTCACACGTGCGTACGACCATTTCGTACACATTATAACAGTTTATAGAATCCATCTACCGACCATTTTAATTAGCAGATTCCAATTTGGTTTTGGGGTTTTCATTCTATAAATCTTCTGTCCCTAAAGAATCTGCCAAAATTTCCTTTACATTCTAATTCTGCTGCCAAAGAATTGTACGATCAGATCAGGTTAGCTTTTCTTCTTTAATTTCTTGTACACACAAATTCATCTGAGACAGATGTTTTTCATTGTATTCCTTTGTTACTCACGCCTTTTATTTTGGGCGATTTGATTTAATTCTTTTGTTTTGGGCCATTTTT